GATAAAGTATTTTCCATATAGCTTCAAGCAGATAGAGGGTCAATCAAGACATGTTTAAATTCTGCACTAATTCAAATATCTTGAAATATCCCCAGCCCCTAACCTGAAAGACATGAAAACAATTTATTTTGAAATTGCCCAATCTGATACCCTGCTAGAACATTGTTTTGGGTAACACTTCTTTATCATCACAGGAAGATGGTAGGGACAATACTAGGTTACAAAACAGAGCCAAGTTTAAGAGCTTTTATTTTGGAGACACCAAATAGAGTATTTACTATTCTTCTATAATGAAAAGGGGTATCCCCACAAAAACACATCTGGCACATATAACTTGGAGCACCTTTAAAAATTTACATATAACCGTCTGCAATGCCAGAATTTATTTGCCCCAAAAGAGTATTGAGGAGTGACAAAAAGGGAAAGGCATTATTGAAGAGACAGATCAAAGACAATGATTAATTCTGTTCCAAAAGCAATGGCATTTTAAACAAAATCCTACTGACAACATAGTGTGGGGAACACTACTTTTCATTAGCAATAGCACATTCTAAATATTTTTGGATCGTGAACCTGAGGTCACTAGGAAGAAAACACTCCAGAGTCGGCCATTGCATTCAGGATGCCTTTTAACACATGCCATCAAAATAACACAAGTCATTATGCAGTGCTGTTTGAAACATAAACAGAACGTCTTCTGAGCACTTTCTTTTACCTCTAAATACTTGTGGGACATGTGACCTTGAGCTGAGAGGCTCTTCTGAAAATGTTGTCCACATGTCTAAAGTTCTCCCCCTCACATGTGTACTCTGCCATCCACCCTCAACCAAACCATCTAAATTACATTCAGATTTTTGTGGTATCATAATAACTTCAATATGGGATATATTTTCAACATTCTGGTAAGAGACTCCTCTCTTCCCTGCCTCACCCTTCTTCCAAGTTATTTCAGGTTTGCATATTTCATTTTCACATCTCAGTGGGATACCCATCACATAACATTTATTTGTGAGGTCTAAAGGCATAACGTGGGGGATTGTGAACTAGCATGTCAAAACCACATACTGCATGCGTATGTCTTAAAGAATGAAAAAGGATTCCTTTTTTCTCAAGACGTATAAGCTGTCTCAACAGTGTAAGTCCAAAGCGAATACCACAACCTAATTAAAGATGAAGAGCGTAACAAGCAGTATTAAAATGTCTTTTTTGATTCATTCTTCTCCAAGTTATGTTTTTATCAAATGTCTTGTCTCATTAATGACTCTAAAGACATAATGAGTATACATACCTTCTAATCTCACCAAATTCAGAAGAGAGTTGAAAGAATTTTCTTCTACATGTTTTGGGGGCTATGACAGTGGAGAATGTACAGGCAGGATAGAAAGGGGCTTTCAGAAGAGACTAAGTCCATTCACCTGCGTACGGGGATAAGCATGCTTATATATTCCAAGACAAATAAGACTTTTTAAAGATCTCTCAAGTAAGAAATACCACAATCTCCTCTGGGTACCAATTCCTACATTTAGAACATTTATTTCTAGGACGGTCTTCCTTTGAGCCTGCCCATGCTTGAGGGCAGCTTCGTGAGCACTCAAGCTCTTCAGTCACAAAGGGGCTCGTGCTCAGAAAGACCACCCACCAGCCCTGCCTGGCTTAATGTTTTGTTGTCATCATCTTGAAATTTTTAATAATTTAACCTCCAAACTTGTGTTTCCTAAGTGAACTCTGACGGGGCAACGAAGTGGTGTATGAAAAGGGAAGATATATGCAGTATGCATGCCCCCTTCTCCTTTCTGCCTCACTCACATGCAGCCGCAAGAGCTCTGAATTCCTGTGGCCCCACGATGAGTACAGGTTCAGGAAGACTCAAAGCAAGTACAAGGAAGGCATGTTACGTGTAGACTGATTAAGTGGGGACACTGACAGCCCTGAGAGGCTTTCCATGGGAACCAGACACACTTTGAATGAAGAGGGAAGGCCACAGATTCAGAGCAACAGGAGTGACTGAAGAAGCCTACTCATCTTTTCTCACTCCTGTTACCTCCCTGTATTACCTGATCACTTACAGTGAAAATGATAACATAGAAGGAAAGAAAAAGAATGATACACAGTTCCTTTTCCTTTCAGTCCCTCCTTTCTCACCAGCAAGCTGAAAGTAGAGAGCACTGGAAGACAGGTATGTATCAGGAAATGAAATAAAAACGGTTAAGTCTGGTGATTCCACATTCTGTAAGAACAAAATGTAAATTGTGTAATATTGTCGATTCCGCCTGTGAGTCTAATGCTCTCATATTTGTTTTTCAAAGAGGCACTGCACATTACAAAGACCAATGGTAAAATTCACACTAAGAATTTAAATTTTCTATTTTTCTTACTTAGAACATAAAATAGCAAATAAAAAAACACCATGACAAGTCAAGAGAAACACTGCAGAAAGAAAAACCTTTGCTTTTAGTACCTTCTTTAACAGCACTTCAGTACCTTTTCCCCTTCTTTTTGAACAAGGAGGTCTGTGTTTTCATTTTGCACTGGGCCCTGCAAATTACGTAGCTGGCCCTGATTCGCTTCCTCATGCTCCAGATTAGACCCACTGCATCTATTCTTCCATCTTTTCACCCTTTCCTTCATTCATCTACCCATCGAAAAAATAAAAATAAAAAATACTGATCTTGTATGACTTTAGTGAGGACAATAAATAATACACATAAAACGCACAAATCACTTCCAGTAATGACTGCTAACTTTTAGCACTGTACTTAATTATTTCATTTAGTTCCTATTAAAACTTACTGGGTAGGTTGTATTATTGTTCCCATCTTACCACTACAGAAGAGAGATTTAGAACAGTTAAGAAACTAGGCCAGGCACGGTGGCTCACACCTATAATCCCAGCACTTTGGAAGGCTGAGGCAGGTGGATCACCTGAGGTCAGGAGTTTGAGACCAGCCTGGCCAACCTGGTAAAACCCCATCTCCACTAAAAAAAAAAAAATACAAAAATTAGCCGGGCATAGTGGCATGTGCTTGTAATCCCAACTACCCAAGAGGTTAAGGCAGGAGAATTGCTGGAACCCAGGAGGCAGAGGCTGCAGTGAGCCAAGATTGCGCCACTGCACTCCAGCCTGGGCAACAGAGCATGACCCTGATCTCAAAAAGAAAAAAAAAAGAAACTGAACCACAGTGATTTTGTGTTCCACTAAGTGGTGGAACCAATAACTGAAGTCACCCAAAGCTGTCTGACTACTAAATCTGAGTTCATAAACGACAGCTATCGTTCTTCTTAACATAATCCTCACCATTACTTATTGTCTAGTATCACAGCCGTGTCTCCACCTCCAGTTTTTATTGTATCACAGCCGTGCCTCCACCTCCAGTTTTTATTGTATCACAGCTGTGCCTCCACCTCCAGTTTTTATTGTATCACAGCTGTGCCTCCACCTCCAGTTTTTATTGTATCACAGCTGTGTCTCCACCTCCAGTTTTTATTGTATCACAGCTGTGTCTCCACCTCCAGTTTTTATTGTATCACAGCTGTGTCTCCACCTCCAGTTTTTATTGTATCACAGCTGTGTCTCCACCTCCAGTTTTTATTGTATCACAGCTGTGTCTCCACCTCCAGTTTTTATTGTATCACAGCCGTGTCTCCACCTCCAGTTTTTATTGTATCACAGCCGTGTCTCCACCTCCAGTTTTTATTGTATCACAGCTGTGTCTCCACCTCCAGTTTTTATTGTATCACAGCTGTGCCTCCACCTCCAGTTTCTCCAGGTCAGTTTTAGTTGCAATTCTGTCAACTCCTTATATCATTCACCACTAAAAAAAATGTGTATTCCAACTTATTCCAATTCACTTATTAGTATTTTGTTTAGGACGAAAAATACAACTTTTTTTCTAATCTGACAATCCTCTGACCCAACTGTAGAAAATTCAGTTCAGCTGATAAAACTTGTGGTTTTCAAAATTACATTCATGAACTTGTTCACTAAAATACAGGCAGACAGACTGGGCCCACATCCTGACCCCACAGCCGGGGCTTCAGAAAAGTACTTAACTCTCAAAGCCTAAATTTTCCCATAGGTAAAATGGTGTTGGAAATAGAACCTTCACTACCTCGTTGGCCCATGCTCGAAAGTAAATAATTCTTACAAAACACTCAAAATAGTACCTGGTACCTAATAACCACTCAAAAAAATGTGAGTTTTAATATTATTATTTTTAGTTCTCAAATCTAGGTTTTAAAATGGATTTGAAGTGATTTCCCCTTGAAATTTTTTCATCCAGTACAAAGAATTAAGTTCGAGGGTCTCTAATTTCCCAGATACGTATTATATTTTTGTAAATAAAAGCATACAAAAGGTCTCCCAAAATGGCCCATGGAGGTCATATGTACTTCTACAATTCAAAGGATCTGAGATGTTTTCATTTAAATAATCCTTTCCTGAAAATGCCAAATACTACTCTCATTTTTTCTCTTTTCATTCTAAACTACCTATTTTAGGGTTGAGGGTAAAAGTTTAATAAACTACACACAAGGAACTCTAAATGTAAGGAACTGTTCACATGGGTTTTAGCAAGGCCACCTCCATTCTCTCTAACCTTTGGCGTGACTCTTAAATTTAAGGTTGAGCAAATTGAAATGGCTGAAGTGTTCTCTCTGCCGGAAAGGGAAGGACGGGCTAATCTGAAGGTCACTGCCATCACCAGTCTGTCAGATGACTATTCCCCTGGCTTCTAAGTGATTGACGAACACTTAGTGTATAAAAAAAATATAGACTGGACCACACAAAAATGGACTACATACCTATTCTCAAAATAGCTCTACAGTGCCTTCGTCTGACATTTTTACTATGGTTTAAAGAAAAGGAAAATAGTATTTTTGTAAAAAAAAAATCAAGCCCTTATTTCATACCTTGGAAAACCTGATAGCCCTATGTGATACCTTCATAAAACCAAAGCTTCAATAACACTGGCTGTTCCCACCACAGGCTGTTAGGTCCTTACCAATTCTTGGGTGTCTTCCTGTAGCGGCAGAAATGCCGCTTCCAGAATGGCAATCTGGTCAGCACTAAGCTTCTGCCACAGCCCGATCAGCAGAATCACCAAATGGGTGGCACTCTTCAGCCTGGTGAACGACTGGAACAGACTGCCTTGGTTTTCCTCCACTGCGTCTGCTAGAGCGATTACCTACAGAAATTACAAACTTTGGTTAGGGATAATTTCACAATCCTTGAGCCCTCAACAAATTCCGTCTGGCACACTTTTGTTTTTCTTGAAGACAACTTGATGAACTTTGTCTTCCACAAACACAAGCTGTGTTGAGTAATAAAAGGGTTATCACTCATCTGCTCACTTCCTTCTTTAAAAAAAAAAAAATGCCCAGAGTGATTCCAAATCCATATGGCCAGAAGTGGAAAACATCCATGAAATCAGCTTAGCAGGGACAGAGTTCAGTGTCTGCTCTGCCGTCTATTGATCTGGCAATAGAAGTAACCTCTAATAAAGTCATCACCGTCTTTATCACCAGCCACACAGATTGATCAATTAAAACATTCTCAGAAGAATAATTGCATTTGCCTTGTAGTTCAAACTAACAACTTCATTACACTTTAGAATGTCATCTTCCTCTAATATTAGTCTTCAGCTGCTACATGGTACTGGGATATCTAATACTTTTTTATTATATCTAAAAGGTAGATAATGTTTAAACATTTGACCAGTTGAGTAATGTCATTTTTAACACAAATGCCAGACACAGCCCACAGGGACCTGAAAGAAAAAAAAGTTCAGGGTGTGTTAGCTTTACAAAGCCAAATCTACTTAGGATAAAATTGGCAGGAGTGAGTAGAATTGACTTTTTTTCATCCTTCTGAATAATCCTGTGGAAAAAAAGAACTAAAGCAACAATTGCATGGAACATCCAACACTGCCCATTGGTGTTTTAGTTTAGTGTAACGTCTTGGTGAATTTTGTGCTCATTAAAAGTAATGAACTGACTGCCACAGAGACTCAAGGCATCTGATAGTCCCCAGAACAGCCGTGCGAGCTCCTTTCTACAAGCCCCACCAGCCTGGGGGACCCGAGTTCAGGTGAGTTTCAGAAGTCTGGTGCAGATGAACCATTTGGTGATATTTCATGGTTTATTGACACCGGCCCAAAGGGCTTGTTAAAAAGTCATTATTCGAACAAGTGTAATGTACAGCTGTGTGGTCTCCCAAATTCCATGTGGGGAGAGGTGCTGTGCAGAGACAGCTCTCAGAGTGTCCCGGAGATACTGGAAAAGAGATGCAGACAGAGCAACTGGGCAACCAAAATTCTTTGCCGCTTGGCTGAAGGCTTGCAGGAGTTATAATAGGCAATCACAATTCCCATTTAGCCCTGCAGGAAAGCATGGGAGTTTGAACGAAGGCTGGCATAACATGAAGTGCATTGCTTGCTATGTGCCCAGTACTGTGCTACTTCCCAATTACATTCGGAAGAACTACACAATATCTTATAGTCCACAAGGATCTTATAATTTGTTGGAAAGAAAACATACATATACAACCAATTAGTGGGAAGAAACGTTACTATAGTAATGTCCTAATTGTGCAGAACGGAAAGTAAGTGTGAAAGAAGTTAGCAAAGGGACGGATTACTGTGGGCCAGAGTTAACATCCCTGGGGCCTCTTCTACTCCAACGGAGCTTGGAGCTCATCCCTTCCCCATTACTTTAAGAAGTCACCTCGATGAGACGGAGAGAGCCCACTTTCCTTAAACCAAAACACCTGGAATCATGTTCCTCCCCAACCCCACCATGATTACAGCCGACTCCTGTTAAAGCCTGAGTTTATACTCTTTTTCTTCCTGTGAATGTTACCAATTAAGCCTCATTGTGGGGCCATCACGTTACGACACAGATGCTTATTGTCAAAATCCAAATCATACAAGGATCGAGGTCATAAACACCTACTGAGTGCCAGATATGTGCAAAAATTTGCGGGAAGTACTGCGGGGAATTCGTTGGTGACAGATCTAATCTCTACCTCCAAAGAGTTTGTAACAGAGAAAGGAAAATAGGTCACGGAGGCAAATATTGACCACATAAGGAAGACCCTACAGGCTACAGAGTTCCGTTAACTTTGCGATTATTATGCGAATAACCATCCCTCCAGTTAACTGAACACAGACCACATGCCAAGCATTCTGCCCTGAGCCATACAGGTATCAGTGCTTTCGATCCTCACATCTCCACCGTGACTTGGCTGACGTTATCTTTCTTCCACAGATGAGAACTCTGGACTCGACAGATATAAGGCATTTGCCCAGGACTGTATGCAGGGTGTGTAAACGGTGCTCCAGCTTTGATGGGCCCCGGACTTGTTTAATGCTCTGCTGTCTCTGCCTTGAAATTCTTAGTAATTTTATTTTTGAACTTGCATTTTGTAAGCAAAATGGATGGGGCAATGAAGCACGAACATGAGCACGGGAGTTATGTGCACTCATTTAATATGAGTGAAATGCTCATACTTGCATTTAAAACCACATCAATATAAAGAGTAATGGTAAAAATTCATGCTGATTATTTAAAATTTTAATTTTTTATTACTTTGAAAGCTACTAAATAGAAAACAAGAAAATATCATCAGAAGTTGTGAAAGAGAGAGCACTGAAGAAAGGAAAAAGCTTTGTATTTAAGTGGTTGTTTTACTAGTACTTTCTTCCTGGCTTTTGAACAAGGGCCCTTCGTTTTCATGTGGCACTGGGAGCCACCAAATAAGTGGAGAGCCTGACCATCACTTAGTAGATGAAGAAACAGGATTCAAACTCTGGAGTCTGTCTCACTCCACATCTTGTTTGAGACCTTAAGCACGTTGTAGGTTCAGAGATGGGCATATTACTACTAGCTGAGCATAGGGGACTTAGGAAGGAAGAGATGGAGGAAGAAGTCGTGGTATGCCAGAGCGGGCTCGGTCAGCTCCTCCCACAGCAGGAGAAAGAACCTATTGTTCAGTTTTCAGAAATTCTGCAAGCCAGCTGTTACACATGGCCATTACTAACGATTAAATCACATACACTTAAAACTAAATAAATTACATTTAAAACAATGGTAATAAATACTCAACATTCATTACTTTCTACTATTATGTAGTCCCTCGAGGTTGTTCATGCCTATTGTATCCATACGTTGGAAACACTGCAATGGTCTATGGTTTACCTTTCTTTCCAACTCTGCATTCAGGGACCTCACACTGGTAGCTTGAAATCAGCCATGATGGAAGTATTGACTACATAAAAATCCATGGATGCTACAAAGTCAGGCTTCCTACCCTCCCCCTCTTCCCCAGAGAGACACTTGTTAACTCTTCACGAGCACACCAGGGAGAGGAGGTATCTGAAATGCGTCCTAAAGAATAGATACTGAATCGGGAAGCTTTAACAGTGAAGGAAACAACTTGAGCAAAGCAGAAAGTAGAGGCTGCTTGTTCAGGGAAGAGCAAACACTCCAGCTTAGGAACAGAAGCATTTCATGAATTAGACGGGTAAGCTGGGCACTGTTGTAGAGGAACCAGAATGTCACAGTGAAAGCATGCACTTCACTCTGCAGGCACTGGGGAGCCACAGAGCATTCTGAGTGTGGCTGTTACTTGACGGAGGCTGCACTCTAAGCAGCTAGCAGATCATAATAAGTATTTGGGGCATTTTTTTGGACTTAAGGGATGCCTTTATGCACGTTCCTCACTAGCAAGGGAACATTCTCACTAAGTGCAACAGCATGTCAGTTCATGGACCCACCCGACTTGCTAAACACAGCTGTGGCGGAAGAATGACTTCTCAGTGAGACAGCAGCCCAAGCCACAGGATCTTTCCTGAGCAAGGCCCAAAATATATCAATCCAGGAGAAGCATCATCTCTCTAAGTCTCAGTCTCATTGGATATATTCCTGTGCCATTGTGGAGTCTGCTATCCCCAATGGTCACAGAAACTGGAAAGAAATGGGGTAAACAATTCCTTATGTAAATTACCCCCAAGGAAAATCTTCCTGACCTACTGGCCAGCATGAAATACTAAACAGATCTCCATGTTCTCAATTTAGTTCTACACGTAACAGCCAAGTTTACTGTGTTCCCCATAAGAGCCAAATGAATTTAACAGAATTAACATAGTAAAAGGAGCTGGAAAAACTACACCCCATCAAGATTCAGATCTCTGTGACCAAGGCCTAGATCTCACAGCTCACCTGGACGGAGAAATAAGGCCAACCAGCTGCTAGGACTTAAATTTGAGGGATAGTGATTTTTAAGGGTGCATCACTGGCTGAGCAAGATGTGTGTTCCCTAGTGTTCAACTGAACTACAGAAAGGGAGGGGTTTAGGAAACAGTAAATGCTAAGGATTTCAAGCACAGTGTGTTGATGCCCTTTGTTTTGCTTTCTCAAATTGAAGGTTTCCAAATAAGATGGAGACCCCGAAGGACATCTCTGTGGAACTGCCATATCAGCTGATGCCAAGGCAATGAGGCAGAGACCCAGGAGCTGCTTGTAGGAAAACGCTCAACTCATAAAGTGAGTGTGAAATTAATCCCAAATACTTCCAGCTGCCAAGACAGGCTCTAAAATTGGTTACAGGAAAGCAGCAGCAGCAACGGCAGAGTAGACGTGAATCACACTATGTGAACACGGACATGTCCAATTTCTTCACCTAAGCTTACTGTTGCATCTGCCTCCAAATTTCATGTGTGGCACTGCCATTGCCTGAACACTACATTGCTGCTTAGCTGTCATTTCCTGAGGCCTGACTGTGGGCCAGGCACTGTGTGCAAAGCTGTCATAGCCAGGTGATCGTGTGGTCCTCATGACAACCCTCTGACACAGGAACTGCTGACCCCTCTGCCCCGACTTCCCAATGAGGAAACGGAAGCTTAGAGACATCGGAACACTGCCTGTGGTCATAACTAGGGGAAGAGAAGGGCTAGGATTCTAATCCTGTCTTCTGATTTCCTACTGGGTGCCTTTTCTTCTACACCAATATACAAATTATACATTCGGCCCTATAAAATAATCCAGTGGATTTCCATCTTCATAATTAGCAAAGATACTAAGGAAAAGCGCTACTCACATGTTTCACCCATGATCGGCATATATGTTTTAGTTAACCTTTCCTGTTGTCGGAGCTTTAAACATGGGGCCAATTCAAATTGGTTGGTTT